CAACTAGAAGTCTCAGTCGACTGACGGGTCTCTCGGCTAATGATTCGACTAGTCGCCTTTAAGGGGGCAGCCCTACTGTGAATCACACTGGCTGCCCTCAGCAGAGTACTGCATCATAGTGAACAAGGAAACAAGGGAGAGAAACAGACATCAGGTTTCCGTCCAAGGGGCAAGAAAAGTAAGTTAATTATTTGCAATTTCCTGGTTGTTCTGCATAAATTGGTCATGAAATGTGATCTGATCTTCATTAAAGTCACAAATATCAACAAAATATTTCTCTACTGATAAAACACAAACAGTCCTGATCTTTCATGTCTTTACTAAACACACCCATTAAACATACAAAGTGATGGTAGCAAAAGTAATGGCAACACCAGGCTTCTGAGGTCACTAAATGTCAGCTGGAGTCAGGTGTCAGCAAACCTGGAGTCTAATGAGTGAAGTGAGAATGAAGGTGTGGTTTAGAGCTGCCTTGACTTATAAAAACACTCAAACAGTGGCAGTGTGCTACTGATAAGCAGCATCAGCTGATGTGATCCAGGCCTTGCAAAAAAGAGATCTCAGAAGACCTACAATCAAGAGTTGTTGGTTTGCATGTAGCTGGAAAGGGCTACAGAGTCATCTCAAAGACTTTAGGTATTCAACAATCCACAATCAGACATACTGTCTTTAAATTGAGATGATTTTGTACTGTGGTTACTCTCCATAGAAGTGGGCACCCAGACAAGATCACTCCAAAGGCACAAGGCAGAATTGTCAGTGAGGTAAAACAAGCCCCTATAGTAACAGCTAGACAGACAGCTTTTTTCTTTATTTAATTTAAATGGACATATCTGGTTGACTTAAAAAGCACACTGAGAGCCAGTGCACCAGGATCAAATTCCTTGATGATTCTGAACACACAGCACTATGTATGGCGGAAAAATAGAGAACCACATACCAACATGAAAACATCATCCCAACAGTGAAGTACGGTGGAGGGAGCATCCTGATTTTGTACAGTGGAGGGAGCATCATGATGTGAGGCTGGGGATAATGTCAGGGTGGCTGTTGGCAAGCTGAAGCTCAGAACAAGCTGGGTGATGTAGCAGGGCAGTCACTCTAAACATTGAAGTAAATCTACTAAAACTGGCTTCAGAGACACAGAATCTGCCTTTTGGAGTGTCTCAGTCAGAGCCCAGACCTCAACCCAGTAGAGATGCTGTGGAATGACCTCAAGCCGTTCACACCAGACGTCCTTAGAACATGGCTGAGCTGAAGAAGCTCTGTAGGAAGAATGGTCCAAAATTCCTCCTGAACGTTGTGTATGTCTTGCTTGAGGTTACTGCTGCCAAAGGTGGTTCAGCCAGTTAAAGATTGGTTTCACTTACATTTTCTACCATTACTTTGTATGTTTAATAGGTGTGTTCAATAAAGACATGAAAGATCATGACTCTTTGTGTTTTATTTGCTTAGAAATGTTGTATTTGTTGATATTTGTGACTTTGATGAAGATCAGATCACATTTCATGACCAATTTATGCAGAAAACTGCAAATAGTTCACTTATTTTTCTTGCCAACCAAGTGCATTTTCTTAGAATCATAATCAGAATCCTCTTTACTGGCCAGGTGTGACGGACACATGAGGAATTTGACTCAGGTACATCGGCTTTCAATGTGCAAACAGTAAACCAGCATAAGGCTGTGTAATATAACAAAATAGCAGTATTAACATCAACAAAACAGTGCACACAATGCAGAAATGCACTGAAATGCAAAGAGTTGTTTAGTCTGGTCAAATAAAGGTTACCAATGCAGGACTGCTACAAAGGTACAAAATGAGGAAAACATTTACTTTCAGATTTCATTAGAACGGGGTTAGTGACCTGGACTCTGTTACAGGGAGACAACCCCACACTGAACCCATTTAAAATCTGGCTATGAGGCCTTGAACCACTGAAAAGTTGACATATTGTATATTTTTGGTCTTTTGCTGATTTTTACTTTGTCCTAATTTGCCAAAACATGCCCATCTAAATGCTATCATTCTACTGAAACAAAGCTCTATTCCACATATAGGCCAAACTAACATGTGACTCCTAACAATTCAGAGAAAGTCTTTTTCTACCAGGTGTTTGCACCTGGACGACGAGCCCAGCCACTGAATTGCCTTATCTGTGGATGAAGACTGCATGAACAACTTAGCAGAGCTACTTTAGCTCTATAGCCCGTTAGGGTCCTTGCCTGGGAAACTGGTATTTTTAACACCAACATTTCAGTTGAAGGTAAGCACGACATCCCTCTGAGACAGCAGGTGAAGGAAACAGCAACGGGAACCATTTGTTTCTCACAGTGCAACAGCACAATCCCTGTTCTCTTCCACTGCCTACAATTAGCCTATTACAACAACATCAATTCCTTGTTTATCGGTGGACCTACAGTCCTGGAAGCACCAAAACCGAATAGTATTCTGGTCATTTCTGTGCATTAGCTCGTTAATTTTTAACTTTTTACTGAATCTCCGTATCCACCTTGAGAACCAGACAGGTGTTGTCTCAAAATGTTTTCTGCTCTGTTTACTGAAGGTGTTTGAGGTTTAAACGGGGCACATTCCGCCCTTTTCTCGGTATACACCAGCGATCACAGTCAGGACTACTTCAGCATATGGTGCAAGAAATGATGTGACTTACACAACAGAGGAATTGCGTAATTTCTTCAAGGCATCGTCGGCGGAGGCAGTGAGGTGAATGCACAATGACATTGTTTTAAGTGAACAGTATATCACTGGGGTACACTACATTACCTGTCCGTACACCTTTGGCATGGCCGATTTACCAGTGCTCCGGCGGATTCGATGCTGCGGGTAGGCATGGGAGTTCGACCCGCCGTTAGCGGTACTACGAGCGGCCAGAGGCAGCCCCGGAACCGCGGCGCGTCCTCCATCTCCGTCTGATATATCCTCCTTTGCTTGTATCGTGAAAAACCCTCTGTTTTGAGGGAGCATGTAGCTCTGCTCAGGGTGAAGATTAAGGCTCGACGAATGTATTACTGCAACACAGAGGACTAATAAACATAAGGAACACCGAAGAGAGGACTGCATCCTGGCTGCCTGTGATATCGCCATGTTTGTGTACGTTTGTCTGTTGAATTAGGTAAGACTGAAGAGCTCCTTCTACTGGTAGTGATGGATCTGGTGTTGCGTTCACAAGCCGTGGGAAGGTTGGAGAGGACTGTCCTTCCCAGGTATAAAATGTTTCTGCTGGCTCAAGACACGGGCAACCTCTAAATATACACACACACACACACACACACACACACACACACACACACAGTATATCTAGTCACACTGAACAGCCGACTGACAAAATTCTTAGTCTGGTAATATATAAAAAATGTTATTAAGCGCCCACAATAAAACCTATAAAGTCAGATATCAATAAATGTCTCAATAGCCAACACTGCCCTAAATAGATAAAGAAATAAAGTTATTAGAAATAACAAATGCTGATAAAAAAAAATTAAACTCCTAATTCTTATTATTGTGTAAAAAACGGTAAATTAACATACTAATGTGATATTTTTAGTTTTGCATCTTACACATAATTAAATATTATTAGGCTATTAGTAGTAGTATCCAAATATTTGGCTTCTTGTCTGAAAACAACATTCTTCTTACATGAGAAATTTTTTATGAGGACTTTTTTTATCAGCCAAATCAAATGAAATACCTGTCAAATCAAAGAACTTCATTACAGTGAAGTGAAAATTACTACCATGAAACAGTTCTTATTATTATTTTACAGCATTGCCCACAATGGAAATAACATTTTATTGAATTTAACTTGAAATGCGAACTTTTAAATCATAATATATGAAACATATTTTAATTGTGGAATTGAATTTTATTGCCCACAACAGCTTGATGTTAAAGACATATATTCTTTGGTATAAACACAATGGCAAAATCTGTGAGTTGACAAAATGATATCTGTAAATAATAATATATTGCCTCAAATCCAAATCAAATAAAAGGTCTAAGAGCAAGTCACAAATCAAGCCTTGGGTCTTTGAGAGGAAGTCCATGTCAAGTCACAATTGCAAGACAAAATGGATGTATGAAAGTAAAAATGTTCTGTAATTTGAACATTCTTCTTTTCCTTTTACAAGTCATTGTAACACATATACCTAATTATGAAATACTGGGCATGTGCAATTATTCAAGGAATTCTTGACTCATATTTATGTTGCAGCAATTTTTGATCAAAAACTGAGATTTTGAATGTTTTTACTTTCATGTTTAGTCAAGCTGCACAGTAGTAAAGTGCGCCTTGAAGGAGTACTACAGCATTTGGCAAAATTTGTTTATTAGTTTTACTGTCAAGAGTTAGATAAGATGATAATACAACTCCTATATTTGTTTGTTAAATAAAAAGATACAAGGGCATCCCTGTAGCTCAGAGGTGAAGACGCCAGCCAACTCTGTCCCCTATTTGAATCAAACCAGGGACCTTTGTCGCATCTCTCTCTGTCCTTTCCTGATATCTCTCTGCATACAATGTCCAAAAATCTTTGGTACAGCCAGGAGAAAGCTGGCTTACCAAGTCTATTGGACACAACCAGTGGCTTCCTGGTGTTTTGTCATCAGTGTAGGTTTACCAGGCAGCCACAGAAGTCACTGTTTCTGGCCAAGACATAGTCCAGCATGCGACTTGTCACAAAACCCCAATTTGTCTTTCTTTACACTTTGGTTTTTGTAAAACAAAATAAAGTATAATGTGATAATAAGTGGGGCATAGAGGTTCTGGGAGGCTGGTTAGGTGACCAGCTATTAGCTGTAGCTTCACATTTAGTGTAGCGGCAAAAGAGTGGATTTTGATTTTTCTCATGTTAGTCTCAGGAATAAAGAGAATTAATGTATTTCCCAAATTGCTGACCTATTCATTTAAAATAGACTCAGATGCAAGTCTCACATTTACAGCTCTGCCTTAATACTGAGGTAAACAGGCTCTGTTGTTGGGTTTAGTATCTTTGTCAAAAGATCTGAAAAAACAGAAAAAAATGAACTGGACTTGGTTTTAGGTCAAAGACATTTCACTTCTCATCCAAGAGGCTTCACCAGTTCTGACCGACTGGCATTGAGTCACAGGTATTTATCCCCATCGGTGGTGTTTCAGTCCTCTGATGCCCAACAATATCCCCTAATGATTGAGTCGTTATAGCCCAGTATCGGTGAGTGTCGTTATCTGTCTTTGAATCCTCCCCTGTGGACCGACGCCTATTGTCCTGGTGGGCATGTTTGGGCAGAGATCTCAAAACAGAGTTGTAGAAGGATGACAAGTTGTGTCTTAGTCTACCACCCCTATTTAGTGAGGGGTGTTCTATTTTTACAAAAATAGCTTTCTTGACTCCTCTCTCAAACCAGCGATGTTCTCTGGAGAGGATCTGGACTTCACTGTCCTCAAAAGAATGTCCTTTGTCCTTCAGGTGGAGGTGGACTGCTGACTCTGGTCCACTTGAGTTGGCCCTCCTGTGTTGGGCCATGCGTTTGTGCAGCGGCTGCTTAGTTTCACCAATGTACAAGTCGTTACACTCCTGACTGCACTTAATTGCATACACCACATCACTCTGTTTATGTCTGGGTGTTTTGTCCTTCAGGTGGACCAGTATTTGTCACAGGGTGTTCCCTGGCTTAAAGTTGACTGGGATATTGTGGTTGCAAAAGATCCTTTTTAACTCCTCTGATAAACCAGCCACATAAGGGATGACAGTATGACTCCCAGTTTGTGTTAAAGTGGATGGTGTGAGTCAAAAAGCAGGTATTGGTCTACCTCTGGCAGACGCTCCGTCATCGCCGAAGCATTACCTAAGTTACCTAACTTGTATTATACTTATTTTCATGGTATTATGTTCGTATGTCATTTTGATTTCCTGGCTGACAGTTCCTGTGCTGTGGATCTCATTTTGTAAGTTGGTTACATGTTTTGTGTTAGACGTCCACACTGACAGTTCCTGTGCTGTGGATCTCTTTGTTTGTTCCTTCCATGAGGTTAGCCAAACGTTATTTTTATACCAAAGCTGACAGTTCCTGTGCTGTGGATATCCCTTTCGTTCGCCAGTCCTCCTGGTTGGTCTGTCTATTCACCTGTCCGTCCTCATCCTCCTGCTCTCCTGATTCCTGCCGTCAGTTTATCTGTTTACCTGTTCGTCCTGGTCTCCTCCACCATCTCTGCCCTACGTTGCTTATATATGTACATGGCCCTTGTTATGTTGTTACTTTGTGTTTTTGTTCCATTAAACCTCCTTTTTTTAACTAGCACCTGGGTCGGCAATTTTGAGTCCACCCTCAGTTGTCCCTCATCCTCCCAGTGAGGGGGACTAAAGCTTAACAGTAGGCCTACAGCAGAAAGAACTATGGCACAAAAAAAACGTTAATCACAGTTGAAAAATAAACAACCACTTAAGGTAAGGTGCACCTCACATAAAATACAACTCCTTGGAATGTCCATATATTTTTTCACACTGAGAAAAAAGAGTGGGTTTTTTCTTGTCTGTGCAGATTCTCAGTCATCCAGGTCATAGTGAGCTGAAAAAAAAAAACTTAGAAAAAATCAACTGGGCTAGATTTCTAGGTTGAAGACCTGTCTTTGAATATTTAATTTGCCTCATGTCTCATTCTGTAACTTGGAGGGGGTGGGGTTTATGATCCATACTGCAACCAGCAACCGGAAGGCGGTCAACTCACGGTGGTTTCACTTCCTGGAGCTCTCAGGTTGTCCATAGGTGTGTCCAAAATTGCCTATTACACATACATACATTTTTCTCTCTAATGCCTGCTACACAAATGAAAATGCAGTAGGCACTGCAGCCATTCCACCATCTAGTGAGCACAACCTCAGACATACTACTATGCAGTCATCTTACTTCTAGATTGACCCGGATGATTACATGTGACAACACCACAGATGACACCAGTCACTTTTTCTTCATTCATTCATTAGGAAGGTGTTCCAGGCATGTCCCACCGGGAGGAGGCCCCGGGGAAGACCCAGGACACGCTGGTGGGACTATGTCTCTCGGCTGGCCTGGGAACGCCTCAGCATTCCCCCGGAGAAGCTGGAGGAAGTGTCTGGAGAGAGGGAGGTCTGGGCATCTTTGCTTAGACTGCTGCCCCCGCGACCCGGCCCCGGATAAGCGGAAGAAAATGGATGGATGGATGGATTCATTATAGCAGTGGCATAGCTGTCACTTTTCATTTAGTGGTATAGAGGGTAAAATGTATGGTAACAGAGGTCTTGAGCCTCTGTTACCATATAATATAACTTATATTATGTGAACCACCACATTGTACAGTTTATCACATAGCTGACAGGTTATTGAATATGAAAATACATGCACAATGGCTATAGCTATGCCTGATAAGTAGAACTAGCTGACTGGCTGATAGGTTAATGGGTCATCACATCTCCAGAAATGTTGGAGCACATTTTTAAATTGACACTACTTGCATAGACTGATCACATATTTGAAAATGAGATGGTTATTTTCTTGCCTGAAAAAATAACAAAACTTAATAAAGTGGGATAATAACAGTCCTAAGACAAAAATTATAACCGGTTTGAGCATGCCTTGTCACCACTGTGGGATGAAATTTTGTAGGTCATTGGGGTACTTCTTGTACATATTTTGACATACTAAAAATCCAGACATACAACTAGTCTCACATACACATTTTAGCCTACTACATAGTAGCAGGTAGGTAGTTAATTCTGGATGCACCCCATGTTTTAGAGGGTCAATAGTTTCAGCAAAGATGATTCTTCCATTGTAATCTAGTCCTATTATAAATAGTTTATATCTTTAAAGAATTGTAATCACTGAGCAGATATTGAAGAAGCTAGCACAGGACTGACAGCAGTTCAAACTGTGTAACAGTGAATAATGAACAGACCATCAGACCCCTCATCAACAAAGCTGCATGGAATAGTATATAGGATTGTCAATCTGGAGTTCATCCCAGAAAGTAGGTTTAGTGAAAACTCAGAATTTGTTTTAACCCTGAGTTGGGCAGAAACCTGGATTTTCTGCTCCAGTCTGCGAGCCTTCAGTGCGTACAGCACAGTAGGTGTACACTTTTAAGGATGAGCCTGTTCCCTGCACATCAAATTGAGGGACAAGCCGCTTCTGTAGTCTGCAGGTTTTCTGGGCATCCTTTTGTATTCCTGAACCATAATTGGCATTTTCTAACTAGAG